GGAAGAGGAGGGGGAGGAGGAGGAGGAGGGGGGGGAGGAGGAAGAGGAGGGAGAGGAGGAGGAGAGAGATACATCTCCTTTAGCCACACCCCACCTGCCTATAGCTACCACTTAGTATAGTAGCACTTTCAAATTATCAATCCATCAAAAGGATAACACATTGATTAGGTTTTTGCTTTTATAATCTACCCATTTCATCTCTGAACATTGTTACATGGTCTCAGGAGCTTTTGGGGACATGTCACATTCAAACCAAACATTCTGGCTGGACCACAAACATCCTCTTCATCCTCACGGACTGGCTCGCATGTCTTGGAACAAAGCTGAGCCCAGGTTTTCTGATGAGGAATTGGGGTCCTCTCCACAGCAGCAGAAGATGGTGCAGAAATCTCCCCCCTCACCTATGGGGTGACCAATCCTCCTTGGTCATCAGACCTAGTTAGCAGATAGAGGTAAGAAGAGCCTAAGTTGGAGTTCAGAGAGCTGGGTGCCTTGATGTACATGTGTGTTCCTATACATTAATGTCTTCCTGAGCCTTCGTTACCTCGTTTATAATACTAATCTCACAGTGTCATTCTGGAGTTAAACGGGAGCATGGGGAGAAAGACCTTTCAGACTATTGATGTTCAAAAGCATAACCCACTAAAAGCAAAGGCGTTAAGTGCCCAGACCACATGCAGTTATTGAACATAACATTTTGTGTTCTTTATTTTACTAGAAATTAGATCCCAAGGAGAGTTCAAATGACTGGTCTCCACAATTACTTTAAATAACTACATACTTTATCCTTTAGTTGATGTATCTCAATTACCTGGGCCATTTATTCTAGAAAATGATATACTGGCTATCCTTAACATCCTTGTTCCTTTTGACTTACAGCTTTGGATAGATTTATTATTGGCAGGGGAATATTATGTGCACTAATGTGATTCTTTAAATGCATTTTCATATCATTTTCTTATAACATTACACACTTTTCTTTACCTCAACTTAACTAGAATTAGGTTTATACTATACATATATTTTGTAACTTTAAAAATGCCTACCATTGTGTTTTGAACAAAAAAACATCTCAGACATTACGTGGTCAGCTGAGTTCCTTCCATACATGGTGCTTACAGTATGGCACTTATCACATCAAATAGCAAATCATTTATTTTTTAAGTTTTTCTCCCTGCCCTCCACCCAGATATAAGTCACATGAAGACAGTCTATCAGTACCTTTTGCAGCTGGGGCAGAATAAGCTTACCATAGTTATTTGTTGGGATAATCTCTATTATTTTGCTTAACACTAATAGTCACCTTATACTATTTTGAAAACAAAACTTAAACTTAGTTTGTCATGGGATGGGGTGTTGGATTAAAACCAGGCTCGGCTGAACTCTAGCTTGCTCTAGGAAACAGTCTCTGAGGTTTTCAAAGAGCAGTAGCATTCCTTTGGGGAGGTGCCTGTGCCTCGCTCCTGATGTTTTGCAGAGGAAATTTGGGTCCATAACCCAGAAAGCTGATTACAGATAAGATATTTCCCATCAAAGGCAAACAGATTGGAGCTGGGAGGTGTTGACAGCATGCAAACCACCCTGATCGGGTGAGTCCTGGTCTGAATAGACAATGGTTGAAAATCTAACCTGTATATTATTGCAGTCAGAGAGGCTGTTTTCCAAAGAGGGCTTTCAGAAACTTCTTTTAAGCTGAAAAGCAGACTGAGATAAGGGCCGGGTTGGCGAGCAGGCTGTTTGTAAAGAATGTATCTCTTGTGGTTCCAGGAGGGGCGATGGGAGGCGGCTGGCTGGTGGAAGGCAGAGGCTGGTGGGAGGAAGAGTGATGTCAGTCAGGGGACAGTTGGAGGATACTTTGAAGTCACAAAGAAGAGATGCTTGATATGATATGGAGAAGGAAAGCAATAAAGCTAGGGAGGACGAGCTGCCAGTTACCAGGGAGAGGACAGACGGTGATAAGGGAAGGAAGGTGGCATCTCTTTTAGGATCGGGAGTGGACTGCACCCTCTCTGAGGTCACACCCAGGTAGGTGCAGAGGGCAGTGGCAGCCTGGTGCAGGGGCTGGGGCTCCTGCTGTCAGACACCAGCCCCCGCCAGCTATTTCCCTTACCCTGGCCAGTCCATCCCTCCTCACCATCACCCCTCCCATAGCCCAGGCCCTGGGTCCTGCACAGGCCAGCGGGACTTTTGCAAAAACCTTTTAAGAGGGCACTCACCTCCGTATCTGCCATCTTTCCAGTTGCTGCCCATGGCCAGCCAGCGGCCTTTCAAAGAACTTCATCTGATCTCATCCCTCCTCCATTGAAAATCCTCCAAGTGCCCCCATCACTTCCAGGAAGTCTCTGTTTGGGACATTCAAGACCTTTCCCAAGCTGCTCCTCAGGGGATGTTTTTTTTCTCATCGCATCCTGTTCCCCTTGATTTTCAGGTTCCTTTTCTTAGACCTATTTGCTTTTGCATAAGTGATTCTATCTCCTTGGAATTCTCTTTTCTACCTTGTCTACCTAGAAAAGCCTCATTTCAGTAATATGCAGGTTAGAGTTCCAACCTTTTATTTGCAGCTCTTGTTGTTTGGCTTATTCCTTTGTCTTCAGCTCTCCTTCCATGCCTGGCACAGGACAGTCACAAGTCTTTGTGGACTCAGTGATGGGCAGGCAGAGGATGTTCAATGCCTCTGGCTGAATAGAATGACAGAGAGGCTGCTTGCCCAATCTCTGCCACGAGGGGGCAGAATTAGGAGAACTCTGAAGGAAAAACTCACTCCCAGGAAGACCTGGAGAGGCTATTTCCTCTTGAGGGGGTCCTTTGAAAAAAGTGAGAAAGGAAAGACAGGACAAACAGAGAAAGAAAAGGAGTTGTAGGGAAAAGAAGTCCAGACCTAGCCTCTAGCTCCAACTTTGATGCTCTCTTGGACCTTTCAAGTTTGGTCTTCTCATCTGGAAGATGGACATTTGTACAAAATGGCCCTTAAGGCTCCTTGACATCACTGTAGTTGATTACCAGGTTGGCAGAATGTGGTAAAAGACGACCTAAACTGAGGGAATTGGTGGGAGTCTAGCCCTCTCTTCCAAAGTCACCCACTGGATGACTTTGGACAAGCTACTTGCCTTTCTGAACTCTAGTTTTCTCATCTGAAAATAGGACACCTCCCAGATACCTTTTATATCAATAGATGAGGCTTCAAGCAAATTAGAGTCCCTATTTGTTTGCCTCTAGTTTTAAGGGGCCTCTGCTTCTCAAGTATTGAGGAGGACTTTAGGTTTGGAGACTCCATCTTTTGTGTCTCCATCATATTTTCTCTTGTAATATACAACTGAGATGTGGCAGATTTCTGTGTCTCTCTCCAGTCTGATCTTTTCAACTGCTATTTTCTTTGAGGACTGTGGTCTGTCCAAGAGGTAGGTATTCTTTCTTTGCCGAGAATACATATCCGTCTTTTGTGTACAGCTGTGCTGAGACAGATCCCCTTTTGAGCGGAAACATGGCTGCTATAGCCTCCTCTGAGTAACACCTTTTTCCTTCCCCCCAGAAACAGTACTGCAGAAGCTGGTGGCTGATTACTTCATGCCCAATGTGGCAATGGTTTCAAACTGATATTTCAGAATTTAGTCACTAATGTTCACTAAAGTGCTTGGGGGAGATTTAATATCTGACACAATGGCCAGTGGAGAATTACCAAAGCAGGAGCCTTTTCTATATAAATGAGAATTTTCTAGCCTGCACACCTGGTTGCTGAGAGAGGGATATCCCAGATCATGGTAGGAATGTTCACAAGTGCCATCACAAGTACCAGATATTTGGCTCCTGTGTTTGTCAGTGATATATGAAGTGGTTATCAATATTAGAGACCACTTCATGAATCAACCAGAATCTGGAAAAAGATTTAACCATAATGAGCTCATTTCCATAGAAATAAGGTAAGACCCACGGGTAGGTCAAATAGTTGCTGTGGTTTAGACACCACACTCCTGCCTCCCACCACCTCCTCATTTCTTACAGGCTCATTTCAGGCCTCATTATTCCTCGTCTCCTCAGTCCCATTGTTATTTGGTCCCTAATCAAGAGCTCCCACCTGGAGGAACCTTGCAAATGGCGGCACCACAGTCCTTCTTTCTTCAACTTGGGTTTGTTAGAGGCTGATTTGTGCTTTCCCCCTCCAAAAAAAATATTTTCAAGTCCTAGCCCCTAGTTGCTTAGCATGGGACAATATTTGGAAACAGAGTCTCTTAAAGAGGTAATTCAGGTAAAGAAAAGTTTAGTGGGTGGCCGTAATTCAACATGACTGGTGTCCTTATGAGCAGAGGAGATCAGGACACAGGCACACCCAGAAGCAAGAACATGCAAAGACACAGGAAGAAGGTGGACATCTACCAGCCAAGGTGGGAGACCTCAGAAAGCACCCTGACACCTTAATCTCAGACGTCTAGCCTTTAGGACTGGGAGGAAGTAAATTTCTGTTGTTACAATCCACCCAGTTAATGGAGCTTGGTTGTGACAGTCCTAGGAAACTAATGCAGGGACCCTGAATGAATATTTCCCTTGGGAGTCATTTGTGCATCCCAACTTTATGGGCAGAGTTGGTTACATTTAGCAAGGCAGCCTCTCTGGAGGCCACTTGATTCCTTCCCTCAGGGGCTTATCACCTTCCCCTTCCCAACACTGCTGGGATTGCCTGTCCCCCCAAGTGCCAGAAATAAGCCCATTTGAACAGCTTGAGCTATGGAGGTTTTTTTTTTTTTTTTTTTACACTAATGGATCACTTTCTCCTGTATGTTAGCTTGGTTCACCTTAAAAGCAGATCCTATGACAAATCTTTGGGCACAAAGGATTTAGTTTGGATGTGATCCTGTGAGGGAGTTATGGGGTGAGACGGGAGGGCAGCACAGCTATTAAATGGGTGTTAAGGATGGACTTACTGCTGTGGGAAACTGGGCCCATTCTTCCTTGGGACCCTCTGAAAACTCTGTGCACCACACCCAGGATCATCCCACCCAGGGCCAAGGAAACTGGGCCAATTATCCATCCACTCCTTCGTTGGTTGAGAGTCTCATCCAAGGCAGTAACTCCCTGACTCTGGCTTGCATTTAAAGTGGACCAAGCACATCCCCAAAGCCAAATCCCTCAGGCAGAGAGATGGAGGAAGATACTGGCATTTCATGGGAATGTTGGTAAATGATCCACCAAATGGGCACAGGGACCATGGCACCATCAGAGTCAGCCACACCAAGCCCCTTCCTCCCCAGATCTCCCCTTCCCTGAGCTCCAGCATGCCCCCGACTGAGCCCACCCAAATGCAAAGCACATTTCTGTGCCTCTTGTGGGCTGACTTTTCGACTCCTTCCCAAGAGGCATCTGCTCCATTAACACCTAACATCTGGAGCAGCCGCTGCCCTTCGGTGGGGCCATTTCTGTGGCGGTGGACCCACCACTCGCCAGATGAAAGGCCGAGTCTTGCAGAAAACAGAATGGACGGATTCCTCAGCGAGGCTTCTTTTTCTGTTGAAAGAAGGGCTGTCTCACAGATCTCTGCATCCCGTTGCTTCAGAGAATCTGGGGTGAGCCAGGCAGCCCAGCAGCAGGGTGGAGAAGTTATTTCTGGAGCAATCGCTATCATTTCTCAAATAGTCGTATTTGAAAGTGGCGCCCTTCTGGGTTCTATTCTGCCAGCCCCTTTAGAAGAGGTTGTGATGTAATTTTGAGAAGATTGTGCTCTCTGAATGGTTCAATAAGTATTTTGATGTGGCCTCCAAACTTCCAGATGTAAGGGCTGGGGCAAATATCCCCAAAGCCATTTATGTCAAGTATTAAATCATCAAGTTTCCCATCTGAGAAGACAACAACAGGTCAGAAATGATGGGCAAGCTCCTGATGTGGAGGACAAGCCCCCAGGGGTATTTTTTGGTGACCACTAAGGAGTGAAGATGAGAGGTTAGTGCCTGGAAGTTCTCAGAGGTTGGTTCAAACAACAGACAAACCAAAGAAATGGAACACTGACCACAAGAGGGTTGAACAGAATGAAGAGTCTCTATTAGGTCTTTGGTAGGGTTTCCTCGAAATCAGAGCTGGAGACCAGGACTCAGGTTCAGGCAGTTTATTTGGGATGTGATCTAGGAAACAAAGAAAGAACAAAGACAGGAAGGGAAAATAGATGATAAACTTTGCTTATTTAATGAGCTGGTGGTCCAGGAGGGCTGAGTCTCAGTCTGCTTGGGATCTTACACAGAACAATGTAAAACACGCTTTAAAATTGTCCCATGGAAAATGGGGAAGCTAAGGATTTATCGATCTACTCCTGCCCCTGGGGACATTGACCCCTCTTTGTCTATATGGTATGGAACCTAGGAGACCCTCTACAAGGCCACTCGCAGGAGCACTTTGGTGCCCTTTCGGGAATTGTCTGTCTCAGCTGTGCTGAAATCAAGGGGGGCAGGGGCCGTGCACCAGAAGCTTCTGCTAAGGCATTTAGCCTAAAGAATTAAGATTCATTCCGCCTCCCATCATGTCACTCCCACTGGAGCAGCCGCAGTGTGCCTGAGGGGGTGCTGAGAGCCGGAGACAGTGGAGGACTCTCATGTTCCTGTCTCTGGGGAAGCTCGCAGTCAGAGGCGGAGGCAGAATAATGTATGTAATGTAAATTTGGTACCCAGAACCTCAAGCCCTTCTCCTGTGCAGAGGCCATCAGACCAACTGAGAGCAGATCCCAGAGCCCTTCACTGAACCTTTCATCCTTGAAAAACAGTGCTTCAAATGGGCCTTCTGGAAGGACTCTGTTGTCCCATCTACTGTGGCTTATGTGCGGATAGAGTGCGCTGATGTTTCTGTTCTTGTGACATGACTTGCTCACTGGCAATCAGTCCCTTTAATCTAGCTGCCAGAGAATGAACTTGGTACTTATCAAAGAAGGAGGTTATCTGTGGAGCAGGACTTCCTGGCAAGTCAGGCTGTTCACACTTGCCTCTTCTCCCAAGCAGGTCCTGAGGTATGGGAAGTGAAGAACAGAGGAGACCAACGGAGACAGGCTGGCGTGGCTGGACCCTTATCATGGACCATGCACGGAGCTGGGGAAGTCAGGCAGAGACTCCGGGTGAGCCTGGCTTTGACTTGCTGAGTGTGAGGGGTAAGGGAGAGGAGGCCCCGCTGATGGGATTCGGGGACCCACTGCCCATCTTCCTTGTGCTCTGTTCACCGGGGCCCTACCCCAGTGTCCCTTCTTGGAGTCTTGACATTGGCTCCTTCAGATCCTGGCAGCTCTTCCTCTGGCTTTGGTATCACCTCTGACTTCCTGCTTCACACTGACAATTCTCTCTGGTTCCCAGGGGGACAGGCAAGCTGTGGCAGGGGCATCCTATATGGAATCAGACACATCTTAGCTTGGTCATCTCAAGTGCTTCTGGGGTCTGGAGCAGTAACTGGCTTTCAATTTCTACTTCTTTGATGGTCTCTGCTCAAAAGTTGCTTCCAAGGAGAGGCCCCCCTATGGGAATCCTAACTCAAATAGGATCCCACCCGTCATTCTTTAACCTCCAGCTTGCTTCATTGTTTTCTCTAAGACTCTAGCACCATAATCATGTCCCCTTTAAGTGTCTGTGTTGTTTATTGTGCAGATATGTCCCACCAGCCCCGTGACAACAGACCTTGTTGATTCGTCCACTGCTGTTCCTCTTAGTGCCCCAAAC